GATAAAGCTAGTAATGGTGACCGTGAAACTATTATTTGATTGGGATAAAAACCCATCTGGCTCCTTCAGGCAAGGGAGTCTGCCGCCCTTACCCAATCTGGCCTACATGTGACTCCAGGCACACAGCAATATGGTTGACCTTTAACTGCCCTCTAAAATGGCCTAGCGATCCACTCAGTCCAAGGGCAATAAGAGCATCGATAATAAATGCTGCCCTTGACATTGATATCCTACAGAAGAATCAATAAATATTAATAATTTGTGCCCCTTTGTTTTGATCTCTCCCACAAATTGAAAGGTCTTCTCTGCTTTCTACCCCAGCCCCCAACTCCCTCAAGTTCTCCATTATTTTAAAGCAGCCTGCCATTATGAACTGCTGACTCAGAATTTCAAATGGCAAACTGTGGAGACTGGTCGAGGAACCATTGCCTGATTGCTCAGTTCCTGGCCTTTTGCCATGGGACAGAGTCAAATGTCTGATTACTCAACAACTTCCTTAAAACCAGGCAGTGTGAATGAATAAAAAGGTGACATCACCCCTACTCAATATCAACAAAGCTTGTCAAATTTTTTGTTTTGCAAACACGCTGGAGAGGCACTTAATGAAATGTAGCTCACGTAGTGACTACGTTCCAAGTTTAAAAATACATCAAATGGACATGCAAATTTTCCAGGGAAGTCACTGGGAAATGATCAGAAGCTGACCTTTCCCCCTCCTCAACATTCAGAAGGTTCCATTTAGATTCAGAAGGCGCCCATAATTTACAATGCAGATTGTGGCTGACATCCAGGTCTCCAATGTCCATTACTGGGTACAGACCTTATAGTGCGAGTGAAGCCGAGACCTATTTATAGATCTCTCCAGCCAAGAATTCTCAGAAACGCAACTCCTGTTCGGGCCAAAAGTAAAGAGAAACAATTGGAGTAGGAGTCGCTAGAGGCAGGAAAGCAGAGGCCCAGTCCTGGCCTGAGAAGTCCTTCCACTGCCCCCCTCCTCTGTTTCTAAGTGACCATCCTGCATCTCCCTTCCCAACCCTACTTTCCATTGCCTCCCTCACTCCAACCCTCTTCTCGATCCCCACACTATTCCAAAAGCATTCGACCATCCAATTGTGCTCTGCCATTTGATAAATATCCTTGCTTGCATTGTCAGTCAAGGATCTGTCTCTCACCTCCTTAAATATATTCAACCAACCCACCTCCACTGCTGTCTGAGAAAAAGCATTCCAAATGCTAACGATACACTGAGAGGGGGAAAAAAATTCCCATTTGTTCCTCCATTTACAGCTTCACTCTCATGCCCTGCCTGACTCTGAACCCTTTTCATATGCAGTTGTCCGTGTCTAAGTGACCTACTGCTGTTGCTATGTTCTGAGCCGGATAGTGCACAAAGCAGCCAAATGATTTCAGAGATTAGGGACTTTCAGTCATGCAGGTAGTGACACACCTTCTTTGCTGTAAGGGGAAAGGGGAAATCAGAAGGAATTTATTCATGCAGAGAGGTATGCTGATAAAACCACAAGAAATAGGAATAGGACTAGGCTGTTCGGCCCCTCAAGCCTACTCTGCCATTCAATATGTTCATGTCTGATATAACGTTCCTCAGGTCCATTTTGCTGCCCTTTCCTCATAACCGTTGATTTCTCTACTGAACTAGGATCTATCTCCGCCTTAAACGTACACAAGGACTCTGCTCCCACAGCTCTCTGTGGCAAGGAGTTCCAACCCTCAGAGAGAAGAAATTCCTCCTCATCTCAGTCTTAAATTGGTGCCCCTTTATTCCAAGATTACTCCCTCTGGTGCTGGACTTTCCCATGAAGGGAAACACCCTCTCAGCATTTACCTTGTCAAGCCCCTTCAGAATCCTATATATTTCAATGAGTTCACCTCTCATTCTTCTAAACTCCAGTGAGTAGAGTCCCAACCTGTTTAACTTTTGTTTATAAGACAATCCTGCCATACCAGGCATCATCCCAATGAGAGATAGTAGGAACTGCAGATGCTGGAGAATGATGCTGCTTGGCCTGCTGTGTTCATCCAGCTCTACACCTTGTCATCATCCCAATGAAACTTCTCTGAACTGCCTCCAGTGAAAGGATACCTTTCCTTAAATAAAAAGGACCTAATTTGCTCACAGGACTCCAGATGTGGTCTCACCAGCACCTTGTATAGCTGAATGGCCCCATGCTATATATCCTACAAAACCTGGGTCCACTTGAAGCGGCATGGCAGGATCACCCTGACCCAGTAACCTCTCACATTCGTCAGTGAAAAGAATTCTTGTCACAGACAGCAGAGATGTGATTAAACAAATTCTGCAACTTCTTTAGAAGGGAAAGGTTGTTTGCTCCTACTGTTAGCTTCCATTCAAATTCATCTGGAAGCTCCTTGAGTGCATCGTACACTGTTCAGATTCTGGTTACAAGTTGGGTTTAAGGAAGAGTATGAAACCTTGTGTAAACTGAAGTGATAAACGCCCAAGCAAGACATTGACAGTAAGCAATGGAGCAAGCACGAGAGACTGAGAGCGGCATGGTGGTTCAGTTGTTAGCACTGCTGCCTCACAGTGCCAGGGACACGGGTTTGATTCTGTCCTTAGATGACTGTCTGTGTGGAGTTTGCACATTCTCCCCGTGTCTGTATGGATTTCCTTTGGGTGCTCTGGTTTCCTCCCACAGTCCAAAGATGTGCAGGTTAAGTGGATTGGCTGTGCTAAACTGCCCATAGTGTTCAGGCACGTGTAAATTAGAGGGATGGGTCTGAGTGGGATGCTGTGTGGGTAGCTGTAGACATGTTGGGCCAAAGGGCCTGTTTCCACACTGTAGGGATTCTATGATGATAAATGGAGGGTGGACTAATATAGAGGATTGAGCGAGTGTGACATGAAGGGTAATGTAGTATGTGAGGTTACAGGTTACTGAGTATGCAGCTGGAAAAGAGTGGATCCCAATATTGACCAGTTTCCCCAGAGTGCAGAATGCCAGGAGTTCAGTTCCCAGGCTGGGGATTACCAGGTGATGTCAGCGGTGGAGCACTGGGGAGATTGGATGTGGAATCAGAGAGTGGATTATCAGCTAGAGGTTCTGCTGGAGAGAATAGGACAAGAGGATGCAAAGGGACTTGGCGGACAACTAAATCTTTGGAAAATACTCTTGCAAATGGGCTTGGACACTAAGAACAACTACCAGGGTTGCACACTGATGCCTATGCACTGTGTGAACAGTTCCCTCAAATAAAGGGAACAGGAGGAGGCCATTCAGTCCCAAGCATTCCATGAGATCATAGCTGATCTCTATTCATTCACTGTTCCTAAATCCATATCCCTGAATACCCTGGCTCAACAGACCTCGATCAATCTCAGATTTACGTTTATTAATTGAGCCGGCAGTTTTGTGGAGGGAGATCCACACTTCATCACTTCATCTGATATAATGTCCCCACAATACACTTCGGACATAAATTAACAATGAGCTAGTTACAATTAAGGATAGAATAGGCTAAGGGATGCACATTGAAGTGGACCATGCACATGGAATAAAGGGTCAATTCCAAAGGCAATTAGTTGCTTGGTAGTACAGGTCCCAAATCTTGCTGAAGAGAGAAATGCGGGGCTGAACTTTAGAGGAAATGGCAAAGTGTTAATTTTGGCAAGTTTCACAGAGGTTTAAACAGTTTACTCTTTCCAAGCTCAACTCATTACCCGTGGACCGTGCCCGTATGACGTCCCACTCCCGCTCACGATGGTGGAAGTATTCACCACTGGTAGTACCTCCCAGGATTCCTGGCACCGGTACCACCTTTAAAGACCAGCCCAGCACCTGATCAAATGCTGGCAAACTGCAGTTGCCTGGCACATCTCCCGTCAGTTGCCTCATACATGTCTGACAGAGGACAATTGGCACCCGGGCTATGCCAATGGGGAACCGGAGGTCCTGGCGGGTGGTAGGATGGAAGGGTGTTGCGTGCAGTCACTGCCTGTGGAGTGTGCGCTGAGATGTTGGTGTCTAACATGGAGGGCTGGAGGCGCTAGAGGTGAGCTAGAGTTACCAGGTTACCACTAGGATTGCCGTTTGGGAATTATCACCATCTAGTTTTTTTTATCCAGCGAGGAGGAGATTGGGACGGTACGTGCCAAAGAGGTGAGATGGCGTAGTAATGTTGATCTATGCTAACGCATGCGAATAGGCCTCTCTCACCACTCACTAGCAAGAACCTTGTCTCACCATTCAACATTAGTTGGAAAACGTGACTTTTTGTTCCTGACATTGACAAGCCCCTTGTTAGGCAACCATGTGATTTTGCTACCTTGCTCTCCATAGCCCATGTCATTCAGGGGCTGGGAAGATTCTACCCACATTATCAAAACCTTCATTCCGAGCACTCATCAGGACAAACACAACAGCGCCAAATTCCAAAGAATCATAATAATTTGTACTGCAGGATAAAAAAGATGTCAACTGATTTTCTGAAGAAGGGTCCTGACCCGAAACGTCAGCTTTCCTGCTCCTCTGATGCTGCCTGGCCTGCTGTGTTCCTCCAGCTCCATACTGTGTTATCTGTCAACTGGTTGTCAAGTTAACCCACTAGGGTCAATCAAAGTCAACTTGGGATGGATAAGTGAGAGACGGGGATGTCTAAACAAAAGGGTCAAGCATCAAGCGGCTCAGTGGTTAGCACTGCTGCCTCACAGCGCTAGGGACCGAGGTTCGATTCCACCCTCGGGTGACTGTGTGGAGTTTGTACATTCTCCCTGTGTGTGTGTGTGGGTTTTCTCTGGGTGCTCTGGTTTCCTCCCACAGTCCAAAGATGTGGATTGGCCATGGGCGGTACACGGGTGGGTCTGGGTGGGATGCTCTTTGGAGGGTTGGTGTGGACTTGATGGGCTGAATGGCCTGCTTCCACATTTAGGGATTCTATGACTCTATGCTTTTGAAAATATCTTATCCTTTTCTACCTTGCCTCTTACTTCATGTGGCTCTCATGAGCTTTGTTGGTTTAGCCCTGGTATCGCTCCTTACCTGACCATATTCCTTCTCAATTGCAGCTCTCTGTTTACTAAACGACCTGAAAAAGAATACAAAAACATAATGATGTCAGAGAAGTGAAGCCTGATCACCTGGTGATCACAGTGTGGTTACTGTTTAAACAAAAGAGCTGCAGGCAAGTCCAATAGAATTTTTTTGACAAGTATTTAGTTCTCCCTGTAAGTCAAAAGAACCACTGGGCTTCCAGCTGGGGAGAGGGAGGGGGGATGGCTACACTGTCAGAGGGATGTTACCGAGGGACTGCTGCACTATCAGAGGGATGTTACCGAGGGAGTGCTGCACTGTTGGAGAAATATTACTGAGGGAACACTACACTATTGGAGCAATGATATGAAAGGAGCGCAGCACTGGCAGAGGGGTAGTATTGAGGAAGTACTGCACTATCAGAGGGTCAGTACTGAAGTTTACTGCACTGTCAGAGGAATGGTACTGAGAGAGCATAAAAGGAATTCTGTACTGTTATGTTAAGCCCTCAGGAGAGGTTCCCTTAGTTTATTATAGTTCCAGGCAGGATTCCCCAAATTGTTAAGCTCCAGAGGTGAGGAGGGATGAACTACCAGACCCCTTCATCATTCATTTAATCCCTTGGTTGGTCACAACAAGGTTAATTTAAACATGGACCCCTTATCTTTCTCCCAGACTCAAATGAAGCTTTCTCAAGTCAACAAAGAGTGAATTTATTAATGACCATGTGCGAGGAATTAATAATGCAACACGGACAGATTAGAAATGAGAGATGAGGTCAAAAGGATAAAAGTATTAAAAAAAACTCATCAGACTCTGAATTGTTTGTGAAGTGCTGATAGTTAAATGTTAAATGTTAAATGTAGAAGAATGTTAGCATTGACATTGGTAGTGGGCCGCTGATTTCAAGATTCTTCGTTTTACAGGTTGGTTGAGGTTCTATTCTTCCAATTCCTTTTAAACATAACTGAATTCCAGCATTCAGGGGCAGAGAAAGGCCTTTTGACTGCTTCCTTTTTTTTGTCTGGCTTACTAGTAAGTTGTCCTCCATCACTCATGATGCAGAGATGCCGGTGTTGGACTGGGATGACATTATCAGAAGTCACAGGATACCAGGTTACAGCCCAACAGGTTTATTTGAAATCACAAGCTTTTGGAGCACTGCTCCTTTGTCAGGTGAAGGAGCGGTGCTCCAAAAGCTTGTGATTTCAGCTAAACCTGTCAGACTATGACGCGGTGTCGTGTGACTTTGGACTCACAGCGAGAGAGAGGAGAGAAAACCTTTTACCCGCAAAACGGGGTGACTGGGGAGAAGTTCCTCAACCGAGACCTAACACATGTACTTACACAAGAACATCAGCCCCACTGGTGCACAAATAGAGTTGAAACTGGTTTTTTAACCTCAGCCCTTATGTATTTGCCAAAGGGAAAAATGTAAAACGTCTCTATGTGTGGGGCATAATCTGGGTTGCTGTTGATTTGGGGGTTAGGGTCATCAGCCTCTCATTATTGTTGTAGCTGTTAGGGATCACAGCGCAGTCTGCTCTGACTTGGCTTGTTTCTCATTTGAGGATTGTTGGTTGAAGTTCACTTGGCATCTTTAGATGTGAAATTCTGTGGGTCTCTTACTGTCTTCAGATAGCCACATAATTTACATCTGCAGCCCTCTTTTAAAAAATGTGTTTTGGAATTACAAATTGAAAAAATGTCCACTGTACTTTAGGGTTCTGACTCGTGATTCTGAAACTCCCAGAGGGGCAGTGTATAATTAAAGCACAGGAGGAGGCCATTCAGCCTAATGCGGTAGTTTGTTGAACAAACTTCCCAATTTATTGCTGCACATTCCAGCTTTCTCCCTATAAATTAATTCCCAAACCCTGATTCATTCCCATGACTTCTCCCTCAATTCCCCTGCTGAATAACAGTGCCGCGCTCCCTCAGTATTGCAATGCCAAATCAAGCAGGTTTCTGAAGAGGAGCCCCTGATCAGAGTGGGAATGTTACACATTATGGACCTCGTTCAATTCCTGCACTCTTTCAGACTGGTTCCTCCATACTATTTAACTTAACAATCCTGTGGGGACACGGAAGCTAATTTCCTTGTTGCAGCTCAAAAGGTTTTGATATCACAACGCATGTTAGGTTCTCAATGATGTGAACAAGGCGGTTTCTGAGGGTAGTCACTGAGCTGATCCCTGAGCAGAAACAAGCAACATTTCAGCAACCTTCAGACAGCACAGATTCCACACAAACAGGCTGCTTCTTAACCCTGCTTATTACCATTCCAGATTGTTACTAACTCATATATGCTCACACATCTTAGAGAGAATTTTGAGGAGTGGAGACTGTGTGAGGGTGCAGGGTGCAGTGTTATTGCACTGTAGGAGGGTCGGGGCTGAGGGAGTGCCACACTGTCAAAAGGTCAGTACTAAGGGAGTGTGCCACTATGAAAGGAGCTAACTTTCAGATGAGCCCCATCAATTCAAGGACCTTTTGTCCTCTCAGGTAAATGCAAATATTTCTGCAGGACTGTTTGAAGAGAGCAGGGGTGTTCTTTTCTGTGTAGTGGGGCCTTATTCCCAAACTTACATCACAGAGAGAGATGATCTAGCCATTTATCACATTGTACACACACACAAACTTCCACAAAAAGCAAAACAGCTGGGATTCAGGGCTGGTCTCTCACTGACTGAGCTGAGGTGGGTATGTTCTGTCTCATAGTCAGAATGCCAGTATACAGTTAAGAGGCATGTTCATGACACCATCACTGCCATAGCACATAACCTGACAGTATGAAGGAATCATGCTCCATCTTGCCTCCGACCACTTGAAGCATGACATGTCACTTGAAGCTTACTGTTCTAATGTAGACCTATGGCAGCCCAAACACTTATGTATCTTTTAATGTAACATTTATATATCATAGCTAGCTGTAATAAATTCTTCAATACCATACTGTCCGCACAAGTTTCTTACGTTATAACGGATAGCAGAAGCATAGTCACATCAGTTACGACTGGAAAACATACCACCAGGGAACAGGACTGATTCCTTCACAATGCAGGCCCACCCAACTCTCACTAAGTCCTGTTCACCAACAGCAACAAATTTATCATTCTTAGTCTCTTATCCACTGATCAGCCTTGCCCCTGCATTTTCCTGAAACGTCCCCCCACATTGTAACCTTCTAATCTCTGTCCATCCCTTTTCTCAACTATTTCCCACTGGTAGACTTGCTCCATTGGCTGTAAGCTCCTCTCTACACCTCTAGCAAGATATTTGGATCACCTGTGTTAATTTTTTACGTTGCTTCATGCCACATTGTGTTCGATAACACTTCTGCGAAATGGTTTGGGATGTTTTAGTCTGCCAAATGTGGTGCAGAAATCCAAAATATTGCCAAATCTGTCAAAAACCATGGAGCTGTGATGAAAATTGATCTATGGATCAATAAACTCTGGTTGCAATTTTGCCCACAATGGAAGCAATTTCCCAGAATTTGAAAACTCCAGGTTTGTGCACAATTACGTCAATAATTTTGTACAAGTACACATATTAGTGCACGTGTGCTTTCTGTTTTCTTTAGTGGGATGTGAACATTGCTGGAAAGGCTATCATTTGTCATCCATCACCAAATTTCTCCTGAACTGAATGCCTTACTTGACCAGGTGAAAGGCTAAGGGTTGACCACAGTGCTGTGTGGCTGCATTCACACATAGGCCAGATTAGCTTTGGACAGCAGAAACAAACACCGAAAATGCTGGAGAAATTCAGCAGGCCTGGCAGCATTCGTGGAGAGAGAAACAGTTAACGTTTCAAGTCTGACAATGACTCTTCTTCCAAACTGAAAGTGATTGGAAAACGGGCATTTTTATGCTTTCGACAGAGGAGGAGCAGACGGAACGGATGGTGTGGAGGCTCAGTACAAAAGCCAAAGTACATGTCCTTCCCTCAAAGGCATTTGTGAACAAAGTGAGTTTTAATCATAATCGATAATGTGTGCCATGATAACCATGACTGAAATTAGCTGCTCATTCCAATTTTATTAATTGAATTTAAATTCGACCAGCTGCCGTGGTGGGATTTGAATCCAAGTTTCTAGAAAATTAACCTGGGTTTTTGCATTAGTAATCCAGTGACATTGCCACTGTACCCAAAATAATTATTCTGGTGCAATTTTGTTCACATTTATCAGCACAAATATCAATTAAAATACTTACAATTCAATTAACCTGTACATATAATCATGTGGCCTCTGAGTGTAACTATACATGAACATGTAACACTAACAGTGTAACACTCACTTTTTTTGCTTGCCTGGCTGAGTGTAGCACTAGCACACAGCAGCTCAATACCATCCAGGGCAAAGCAACCCAGTTGACTGGTGCAGTGATTGTAATGAGATCAGCCTGGTAGACCTCATAGAATTTGAGCTCCCTGATTGGGGCTGTTAACCTGGTCCAATCAGGGAGCCCTGGCTGACAGATAGAAACAGGAGTGTCAGAGGTTCTGCTCACTCCGGGAAAATCAACACAAGGAAAACACTTTTATACAGAAAGTCTACATGATCCAGAACACAACATCACCCAAACAGATGCTGAAAACAGATTTAATTACAACTTACAGATAAAATTGGATTGGTGTTTGGAGGGGAAAGCTATCCAGGAATCATACAATGATACAATACAGAAGAGGCTCTTTGGCCCATCGTGTCTGTACTGACAAAAAACTATTCTAAATCTACACACGTCCCACTTTCCTACTCTATGCTTGTAGCATTGAATGCAATGACGTTTCAAGTGCTCATCGAAGAATATTTTAAAGGTCGTGAGGTTTCCCATCTCAACTACACTCCCAGGCAGTGCGTTCTAGGCCCCCACCACCCTCCGGTTGAACAATGCTTTTTTTCCAAATCTCCCTTCTGCCTTTCACCTGAAAATTATGCCACTTTGTTATTGACCCTTCAACTAAGGGAACAGCTACTTTCTATCAACCCAATGGGGAAAGCTCGGGGGAATTAAGAACTAACCAAATAGCCTCCGTCTGTGTTGCATC